CTTCCTCTTCTGCTTCGTTTGGGTTGCTGCCTTTTCTATTCTTCGTTTCTCTTGTGTTTCATGCACCTTCCTGTTTCTCTCTCTCTCTCCTATCTTTTTCTTTCTTTCTTTCTCTTTCTCTCATCTCTCTCTCTCTCTTTCTTTCTCTTCCTCTCATCTCTCTCTTTCTTTCTCTTCCTCTCATCTCTCTCTTTCTTTCTCTTCCTCTCATCTCTCTCTTTCTTTCTCTCTTTCTTTCCTCTTTCTTGTGCCTCACTTTCTCTCTTACTCTCCTCTCTTTCTTTCTCTCATGTCTCTCTTGCTTTCCTCTCTCTTTCTCTCCTCTCTTTTTCTCTCTCTTCTCTCTTTTTCTCTCTCTTCTCTCTTTTTCTCTCTCTCTTCTCTCTTTTTCTCTTTCTCTTCTCTCTTTTTCTCTTTCTCTTCTCTCTTTTTCTCTTTCTCTTCTCTCTTTTTCTCTTTCTCTTATCTCTCTCTCCCTCTCCCTCTCCCTCTCCCTCCCTCCCTTTCTCTCTCTCTCTCTCTTTCTCTTTCTCTCCCTCCCTCCCTCCCTCCCTCTCCCTTTCTCTTTTTTTTTCTCTCTCTCTTTCTCGCTCTTTTCTTTTCTTTTCTTTTCTTTCATCATCTTCCTATGCTGCTTCTTAATTCCTCATCAGTATCTTATCTCTTTAGTTTCACTTTGCGTATTGCACTCAACTCTCGCCTTCCTTTGGTTCACCTTTCTCCACTTAACCGTTAAATCTTTTCCGCCTGGCGACCCTTCCTTTTCCCGTGCTCAGTAGTGCCTCCCTTGCTAGGAGCAGGAGGTGCTTCCTTATTTCTCCCCCTTTAAACGAGGATCAAAGGGTGACGGGTTGTATTTCTACATCCGTTTGTTCGCTTTGCAGAATCTGAGCAAGACAGAAGCCGCGTCGAACGAGTCAAAGAAGCTCCACAAATCTGGCAGCCTAAGTCAAGTCTGCTCAGAGGTCGCAAGTGGCGCGCGCAGCAAGGTAGAGACCCCAGTTCTTTTATTCTGTGATAGATGTCGGTGTTGGAGTTCCTTTGGAGATTCTAAAGGTTCAGCCATGCTAAGAGTTCCTTACTGCATTAGATCAGTAGGAAAGTACATGATGCCGTGATGATTTTTAAAAGAAATAAATCCTGGGTATATGAATACTAAAGTTTAGCTTTACTTGATTATATCAGTGATAATATTGATCAAATATGAATTATGAAGCCACGGTGATTCTTTAATGTAAACCAGTAACTGTTACACCAATACAGACTATCATGTCCTGATTGATATCAGTATCCTGTTCCCCTTCGATGCTCAACCAAACAGAATCGGCGTCAGAAGACTGCAAGTGAAAGCTCGAGTTCCAGGTACTCTCGGCGCTCAGAGGAACGAGAGGGCGAGGGTAGCTCAGGCGATGAAGGTGCTGTGGACGTCCCTTATAGACGGTTAGAGCAGTCTCCCCATTCCACACTCTCCACTCACTCCGCTGAGCACACATTCCCCCCCGAGGGTGTTGGTGGGGCCAAGGGAGGACACGCACCTGACTGCAACCATGACATAGAATATTCCATGTCGGTAAGTGCTGCTTGATTTTGTTTTCTGAGGAGACAAAATTCCATCTAATTTTTTTGTGTGTGTTTGGGGATTTTATGGAGATCTGGAGAGAGTCTTTGCTGCAGTCTGCCTCACCTGCTCATCTATACTGGAAATCTTTACATATCTGATTTAATTTAAAATTGATTCACTTTACTAGTCCTACAATCCTTTAATTTAGTTTAATCCATCTTTTGTATTCAGTGTGGTGAATAGTTTTGTTGATTGGGAACTGCTTATAAGACTCTGGGCAATTTATCTTTTAAAGTAAAGTTGCTTCAGTTAGCTAGAAGTCTTTGAAAATCCTTCTTTGGTTATTTTCTGCAAAAAAAAAAAAAAAAAAAAAATCTTATGGCTTTTTATTATGTGATTTGCTTTCCTGTAGAAAAAAAAAAAAAAAAAAAAAAAACATCCAATCCACTCTGCACTTATTTGATTTATTACCTACTTTATTTCATTCCTTTGTCCTTTTCATTTTGTCAGCCACCCTTCTAACCCTTATTTATTCCTCCGGAGAAGAAGGTTCACCGTCTTTACACAAGCGATTGACGATCCATTACAGAATCTTCGTCTACATGTTTTCCCCCCAACCTCACAGGACGTGGACTCTCAGGGGGAGACCACAGAGGAAGAGGTCGACGGCAAAGACGAGCCGTGCCGGAGTCTAGGGGGCCTTAGCCGCGCACGGCACTGTTCAGAGGCACCCATTGAGGAGGATGGGATTGAGCTGCAGAGCATCTCGTGCCAGAAGGCTGACTCGGACAATCCACACACAGAAGTAGATCGGACCATCAAGTTCAACCTTGGGAGACCACAGGTGAGCTCAGGCAGGAGGGTGGCTGGCAGAGGACTTGTGTTCCAGTCCTCCTTGTGGGGGTTTTAGCTCTGCAAAGTATGAGCTGTAATTGTTGTTGTTGTTATTATTATTATTATTATTATTATTATTATTACTATTACTATTATTATTATTGTTGTTATTTTTATTATTTTCATTATCATCATTACTCTTTATTTTTGTTGTTTTTAGTTTTGTTATTATTGTTATTGGTATTATTAATGTTATTGTAGCTGTTTTTGTTATTGTCATTATTATTGTTGTTTTTACATTTTTTCTTATCATCATTATCCTCATCATTATTTATTATTATTATTATTATTATTATTGTTATTTTATTATAGTTTAAGGTAAATGCTCTTGCTCTCTATGAACACAAGTAGTTGTACTAATTTTTAGCAATGTCAAGACTGTTGAAAGGAATTGCTTATCTGACTTCTCTGTAAGGAGACATCATATCCAGTTAGAAAACCTGTTTATTTCTTAATCCATAGAGTGCAGAATTACCCCCTTTGGTCCCGACGTTTGGTGTGTAACTGTTAGAAGACAAAATTGTTGTTATTGTTATTTTATTATTATTTTTTTTTTTATATATTTATTTATTTTTCTTCTTCCATTTCATACTGGAAGATTGACAGTCGGAGTGTAATCTTGTTAGTTTTATAATTTAGGGCAGCTTTCATTCCACTTCAGCAGAGGTTTGCACTCCATGGGTTAGCGCAGGGAAGTTCTCATGAGACGATAAATCAAATTTAGCCCCATAGTTAGAGCACAGCCGGGAAAAGTAAGAAAGAGAGAAAAAAAAAAAAAGTCCGTGAAGGCCATTTTGGACTGCCAAGTTAGCCTATACTGTTTACACAGGAGGACACCATGCCCAGCAGTTGCGGTCGGCGCACACTATCCCTTCAGGATTCTCCGTGTGTCAGTTCAGTTTTCAAAGAGGAAAAGACTTCTAGCAAAAGTAAGTAAACTCGCAAAAGGAGCAGTGCAATAGTGTGCTGAAAATGAAGAATGTTGAGGATGTAGCTTTTGCAAGTTGTGAATCACATCATGCTGATTTTAATTTATCAAAGCATATCAGCGGAGCTGTTGACAATTTGTCTTAAGAGTCGCTTTAGAGTTCATTGTTTGGATAATTTTGATTTATTTTTGTATTTCACTCTTTGTGTGTAAAGGGATGGTTAAAGTTAAGTCCACAGAGCCTGTTTCCTTTTTGATTGGAATTTTTTATTTTTTTATTGTCATTTTTCATAATTATAAACAGGTATGGGTGTTCAAAAAAAAAAAAAAAAAAAAAAAAAATAGGTCAGTTGACATAAACATCATTTCAATGAACAGGTTCCGAGGAAGAAGGCATAGGAAAGAGAAAGCTGCTAGGTGGACGAAGTGACAGCAGTGGAAGTGAGGTTAGCTACCTGTGGTTCATTTCTCTACCCCTCCCTCCCTTCTCCCTCTATCTCTCCTTACCTCCCTACCCTCTCTTTCTCTCTCTCTCTCTCTCTCTCTCTCTCTCTCTCTCTCTCTGTCTCTCTCTCTCTGAATCTTTCTCATAATATGTATGTTGATTTGATAATACTTTTGATTGATAATTGGGAAAATAAGTTTCTTCTTTTTCCTGTTTTTCTTCCTTTTTTTTTTCAACCAGAACTCTTGTTCAACATTTATAACCCAAAAGGATTCTATCTAACATTTATGAATTTCTTTCCGTGCCTGTTTCCGGTTGTGGAATTGAGTTTTTAGAACTATCCCCATTTATGTTTAACGTTGTTTGTTATTAGTCATGTCGTTGCTTTTCTCTCCATAACACTTGTAAAGCGGTAGTTAAAGAACATGAAGGAATATGTAGCCTGATCATCTTTCTGCTTTATGACTATTATTAAGAATATCGTCTCTGAGTATCCCAGAAACTGTCCAGAATAACAACCATATAGAGTGCACATATGTATGTGTGCATACATACATGTATGTATATTTATATAGATATGATGTTCCCTTATGTCAGAATGTATTGGCATGTGTATTGATGAATGTAATTTTTCATTTTATTGTATTAGCGAATGTACATTTATACTGGAGAGCAAGTGCAGGTTTTCTTGTGAATTTCTAAAGCATTTTGATTTATTTAAAACATCATTTTTATTAAGTCTAACCAAACTGTTAGTTTGTTAGTAATAAGAGTTAATGGGAGATTTTTCTTGTTGCACAATATCTCCTCATCTTTCACTCCGACGCTTGAATTCTTACGGCCATTGTTGCAGAACAAAGCCTCATTAGACGAGAACAGTAACCCCATGATCACGGGTGGCGCCCCCTCGCTCCTCACGTCGGCCGCCGGGACCGACCGTTCGAGCAGCACCTTCCTCATGTCAACCCATACTACCTCGCGCAGGAATGGCATCAGTGGAACCCACAAGCAAGTTACCAAGTTCGAACAGCTCAAGACCAAGAAGGAGAAGAAGAAGGTAAGAGAAAAGGCGCTCAGGTTGGCCACGATGCTGTGGTTGAGGGGCGCTCAGGGTTTTAAAGAGAGGTGTGCGTGCATGTTTTTTATTCCTACGAATAGAGTTGATTATAGTTATCTGTTTTCTTGGAATCACATGAATTTGTAATGGGTTATTAGAGAGTAATATATCTGGGTTTTTAAAATAGATTTTGTTTCAGAAGTAAATTTACTGCATATATATATTCTGAACATTTCCTCAAAAATTTAAAAGATCTTGACGTTAAGCATTAAGTTGCTTCCGTTACTAAATGACTATTGTGTTTGCTTTACAGATTTTAAAAGCTCTCCAATTACATTCTTCAACAGTTAACATGCTTTGTCTTAAGTGTTTTCAGTCACAGTTAACTCGAACACAGGGTGGTGGGATATATGTTTATACAATGTTTTCCAGTCCAGTTAGGCATCACAAGATAGGCCAAATGCCCGTGTGTGTTTGTGTGATTGTTTACATATCTGTATTTATATACACATATATTCTTTGTTACAGAATAACCCACAAATACAGTAAATTCTAATCTCAGAAATGTGTTAGCACAAACAAACATACAGCCATATACAGATGGTAAATATTTGCACCTTTATGATATTTTACACAAATACGGACTTACCTGCATAATACATTGTTATACATACATAATTCATTTGTCATTGACTTTACTTTTAATAGCTTTAAAGGGAATATTTAGACGATTCTGTTACGTAAGTGGTGCATTGCTTCAGAAGATTTTCATTACTTGTCTGTCTGTAGACTGACATTTGATTATCGATAGGTTTTTGATAGTATCTGCTATGTGATCGTTCTGCCTTAAACCTTTCTCTTGATTTGGGTGTAGTTTACCAAGATTATTAAGTCAACAAAACAAGCTTTACATATTGGTTAAGAAGTAAAAATCAGTTGATAAGTATGGAAAAATGAATGTAAAACTTTTAGGTCATTCCAGGACTATTAGACTGCAATTTGGTATCATTATTTCCAGTAAATATTATAAATCTCCAGGAACCTCCTTGTCTGTCTTTATGGAATTGAAACAAATTTCTAGCTGTAGCTCTTCCAGCCTGGGCCAAGTTGTTGAGCTGATTTCTGTGAGTGTGATGACCCGGCCATAGATTAGAGCAAGGTTCTTCCAACTTTTCCCTACGCTGCCCGGTTTGATTTTGTACACTACCTTTTCAAGTCTGTATGTCCATTCCATTCTGCCTTTCTCTTGACCTGCAGCCCAGTATTGGGTCTAGACATGTACTTTGAAGAACCCAGGATGAGAGTGCAGAGCAGTGTTGGTTCTTCACGTTTTTCATCCATAGCTGTTGCAAGGCTTGTGGGATTGTTGTGCACTTACTAGGGGCTATTGCAGTTGCCTCTGCCTGAGTAGATCCTCTTATGCAGTGAGAGTCTTGTGTGTTAACTTTTTTTTTTTTTGGCCTCTTCTTTAGTTCTGAAATTTTAGGGTTATCTTGCATTAACTTTTCTGATTATTCTTATGGCCAAGAATGTTTCTGTAGTGTATAATGACCTGTTCCACTGAAATATTTGGGACGGGCCTTGATTTCAGTCAGAGCTAATAGAAACCTGAAAATTGAAATTGTTATACTTTTTTCACTTATTTCTTTACAATTCCCCATTGGTTTTGCCGTCTTGTGTAACTGGACTTGTGGGGTATTGTGCAAATTGCAGAACTGTCACTAATGCTTGTTAACCTTACAGGCCAGCAGGGAGAAGGACATCGTGAACATCATAGAAACGCCAGGCTTCCGCGGCGATCAGGATGTCAACGACCTCCTCAAGTTCATCATCGGGAGCGACGAGGACACCCCCAACAGCAAGAACAAGAAGAAACACAAGGGCAAGGGCCAGGAGAGCCGCGACGAGAAGGAAGGGTCCAAGAAGAGCAAGGGCAAGAGCAGCCGTGCCAGCGAGGACAGCTGGAGCGAGAAGTGGCGGGAGGACGAGGGCTCCTCCGCCAAGACCAACGACGACAGCGGCATCGGGGGTGAGGTGGCGTCCAGGGAGAACAACCGGAGGAGCAAGGAGCGCGAGGACGAGAAGAAGACGGCCAACAACAAAAGGAACAAGAACCAGGACGCCAAGAAGGGCAAGAAGGGCAGCAGCAGCCTGAGGGAGTCGAGCAGCGTGGAGGATCTGGTGTCCAAGAGTAAACAGAGTGATAACGTCCGCGACATACGCAAGCAAGTGACTATTGATGACGGGGATATGTCCCTCAGTGTGTTACATACATATCAGAATAATAAGAAAGTAGATAAATTTAACCATTTTATAGCGAATGGAAAATATATCAGAGAGTCGAGCATGATGGACATTGCCAATGACAATGAGTTCGACGCTGACCAAAGGCCTTCCGACTTTGTGACCGATTTCTATAGTGTAGGAGACTCGTTCCTCGGGGAGGACCTTTCTCGCACCCCCTCGTCTCCGTCAGGGGGTGACTTTGAGGTGGTGAGCAAGAAAAGGAGCAAAAGGGCCAAGAACAATCCCCAGAATGCGGGCCAGGGTGCTCGGAACGCCGGCTCGGAAAGGTGGAGCGGCAGCACCAACAGTGGGGGACACGTCGATGACAGTTTCCGTGCCTCGCGGTTCGGCCAGAACAAGCCAAACCACAGGGGCAACGGAAGTCACGAAAGGCCACACATTAACTTTGTCGAGGGACCACGCACAGTTCACGAAAACATGTTCCTGGCCCAGTGGTCCCAGTTGGGGGTGGGAGCCGGGGAACGTTATGCAGCTACAACCACAAGTGCCCCCCATAGTGAGGATTCCGAATCTGATGGTGATGACTCCGTACACTCAATGCCAGTTCCTTCGATCACTCCCAGACCCGACGTCCGCAAGCCTCCACCCTCGTCAGATTCGACTCCCCAGGCTTCTTATGCAAATATCGCCAAGCTTGCTGCTTCAGCCAATCGTACACAGATGAAGCGAGTGGGCACTGTAGGGGCTCAGTCTGGGACGGCAATAGTGAAAGAAGTGGATGGTGAAGTTAGTGGTATTAATGTTGTAGAACATTCAACATCAAGACCTCAAGTAGCGTGTGAATCTCGTCCCTCAAATATATTAGACGATAATTTCCCTTCCTTAGCCGAAAGTTTAGGTGGTTCTGCTCCAATTAGTGCAATATCAACATTTAAGCAAGGTGAATCACGGACCAACCACTTAAGCGAGAGTGTAGTGATTCCTGTTAATAATGCATCAACTTCGTCAGTCAGTGATTTAGCAAAAGAAAGACCTGGTGTCACGGAAGCCAGCTCGAGCCCTAGAGAAAGTGGGGAGTCTGTTGTAGTGTCAACCGCTAGTCTTAGTGGACAAGTAACAGGTGATAAGAAACAAATTAAGTGTATTGGTGAAAATGTCCAATTAAATACACAATCTGTGCAACAGCATTCTCATACTCAGCAGAGCCATCATCCTCACACACAGCAGCATCAGTTGCATAGTCAACTAAACCAACATGCTAAAACTCATTACTATATGCAGCCCCAGCACCTTGTCCAACACCCACCCATTTCACCCCAGCCGCCACAACAACCCCGACAGACGCCCCTCCAGCACCCAAACCAGAGTCAGATCTACCCCCAGCCCAATCATCCCCAGCAGACAACTCATCAGAAACCATGCAGTCAGTTGCAAACCAATTCACTCCAACCCCTCGCCAAAACATCCCCATCGCCATCTCAGATCTCCCCAAGTATGCCTCAGCCCCAGCAGTCCCAACTTGCCAAACCAGTCCCTACCCAACAACAACAGAATCCGCAGCAGCCGCAGGTGCTGTTGCCGCACACAAAGACCTCACAGAGCCCGCTTCCCCAGCCGTCTCCGCAGCCCCAGCCAAGTCCCCAGCCCCAGCCAAGCATACATACTCAGAGCTCACATCCACAGCAGGTCTTATCAACTCAGCATAACTCGGTCTCTCAGCAGAATCTGCATCGTCCTCAGAGTTCCCACGCCCTGCCGGGAACGTATCCCGCTCCAAGTTCTTTAGCCTCCCAGAACACCAATGCTAATAGTGTGGCTGTGCGAGAAACTAGTGAAGAGAAGCAAATAGTCAGTGGCAAATCTCAAGGCAAACAGACCAAGAACGGGTCAGTGGGGCCCACTGTTCAGTCGGGTGATACTAGTCGTTTCAAGAAAATCGAACCTGCAGTTGTGTTTACTGACAATGCCAAATTCAACCACAGTGTTAGTGGACTAGAGTTTGGCTTCGGATTCGATGAGTCCATAGTAACAACAAGTGATAATAATGGAAGTGGGAATGAAAGTGTAGTGTTAGATAATGAAGACAATAAGTGTAATAATAACAATAATAACATATTAAAGAACAATCATACAGTGACGAAAGACTTCAGTAAGTGCTTCAAGGCTCCCAAGAACGACAAGATAAGCTACAACTACGAGGAACTCATTAGACATGTATCCAAAGGTAATTATAGTTCCCCTATTTTCTTTTGTCTCCTAAGAGTTCAAAAATAGGTCTCTCATTTTTTGGGTTAATGGCTGCAGGCTTGTGGATCCTCGTAGGTGTAGGCATTTTCATTTGCTTGATGAAGATAAGGAAATTTGATTGAGCTGTAATATACAATTTACACCAGGTATCATAGTACAAGCTTCGTGGTGTGGTTGGAAAAAGACTGGTTGAATTATAGGTGTTTGTCTTTTATTTTTGTCAGTATGCAAATATGCATTGTGCTTTGTGGTTAAACCTCCCCATGGGCAATAGGGTGAATACAGTGTATATGATAGAGTTGGGTCAGCCACCCCACTATAAAGACCCTTTCACTTCATGATGTCTACATAGCGCCAAGTGGTTCGTCAAATACCGCATCAGTGATGGCACCAATATTTATTATATATATATATATATATATATATATATATATATATATATATATATATATATATATATATATATATATATATATATATATATATATATATTGTAGAGGCACTATGAAGTGTGCATTGTTGATCCAGCAAGTGCTTATTAAAAGTTCTTAACTGTGGTCATGTTATGACAGTTTAGATAAAAGTATTGTCGTTTATGTATTTCACAATATTTGGCAAATTTTCCATAATGGGGCCTAATGATTTTCAGTAAAAGGATGGGATTGATGAAATTCATGGAGTAGCTAACCTGAAATTGAAACAGTACCATAAAATAAAGTCAATGTATCATGTTGATATACCTGTTGAAACAATGGAAAGTGATAATTTCTGAAAGCAACCTGTAGTGAAGTTGTTTCTCTGTGAGCATTGCCCTTTGCAAACCAATCTTGGTCATGTTCAGTAGGACTGCCTTGTTGACAGTTGCCGAGCACATCCAAAAGGACCTGTGCTGTGTGTTCCATCTATGACGATCATGGTAGGCTTTACTGGGATTTTAGCTACACCATAAGAGAGAAAGGCAACAGCTAGTATTGGTGTGTGCGCGTGTGCGTGTGCTTTGAAAGAGAGAGAGTGTGTCCTGTTTAGTAAATATTTACCAAAATCGTAAAAACGTATTATGTATCAATAGCATAGACCATTCATGTTTATAAAGGCAAAAGTCGAATGAGCAAGGTACGTTAGATTTGTCAGGTTCAGATATTAGTTGGTATTTTGTAAGTAGATAAATTAGTGTACTGTGTCATTATTATTTTCCTTATCTGTCTTCTGATGCTGCTTTTTTTCTTCTTCTTTCTTTTTCTTTTTCTTTTTCTTTTTTTTCCCTCCTCCTCCTCCTCATTCTCCTTCTCTTCTTTCCCCTCCTCTTTTTCCTCCTCCTCCTCCTTCTCTTCTTTCCCCTCCTCTTTTTCCTCCTCCTCCTCATTCTCCTCCTCCTCATTCTCCTCCTCATTCTCCTTCTCTTTCCCCTCCTCCTTCTCCTCCTCCTCCTCCTCCTCCTCCTCCTCCTCCTCCTCTTCCCTCTCTCTCTCTCTCCCTCCCTCCTCCCTCCCTCCCTCCCTCCCTCCCTCCCTCCCTCCCTCCCTCCCTCCCTCTCTCCCTCTCTCCCTCTCTCCCTCTCTCCCTCCCTCCTCTCTCCCTCTCTCCCTCTCTCCCTCCCTCCTCCTCCTTCCCTCCCTCTCTCCCTCTCTCTCCCTCTCTCCCCTACCCCCTCTTCTTTTTCTTCGACTTCAGCTTTTTCAGTGGTTGGTGATAATTGCATGAATGCAACATGTCAATTTCTTTGATAAAGATTTTGTTAAAACTATTCTTCAATTTGAATAGTCTCAGAGAAGAATGAAGAGGCACACTCTTATATTGCAAGGAAGTGTGCAGTTTACCCTTTTTTCAATCCTGCATTCAAAACTGAGCTGAAGGAAGTTTTAACATATTTCCAAGTGGACAGTCAGTGACCCTTTTTTATTTTTTTATATAAAGAGAAATAAAAGTAAGAAGTAAGAGGAAGATAGATGAGAGGTAGAGAAGGGAATATAACAAGAGAGATAAAGTTAGATAGATGTGAAGTAGATGAAGATGAGAGGTGTATGTATGAAATATATATATATGTGTGTGTGTATGGAGTCCATTGGATAACAAACAATTTAGAGAGAGAGAGAGAGAGAGAGAGAGAGAGAGAGAGAGAGAGAGAGAGAGAGAGAGAGAGAGAGAGAGAGATAGAACGAAAGAAAGAGGGAGAATGTTGGTTTAAGTGCTCATAGTTCCTTATCCTGTTATTAGTCCTTCCACCTGTGGCCAGCTACAGCCAAAACACTTGTGGAGTGAGGGCTGGGAGGCATGGTTGCGTAAGGGAAGTTGCATTTTTCACTGTTTTGATACACCCATTCATAGAGTACATAGTGGAAACCCAGGAGAGGAGAGGGAAAGTTAGGTCAGGACGGGACAGGACATTGATGGAGAGAAGAGAGAGGATAGAGATAGACACAGAGGCATGCACTTAAATTGATACATGTACAAATGAACAGTAGATACAGTTGAAATAGCAAATACAGACTCCTAAAGTTACAGAGAGGAGGGAGGGTACGAAATTGATATTGATTGACAGTAATTGAGTGGACAATTAATAGTCAGATGTCTCACTAAATTATGGTTGAAGAATTGGCATGGTAAATTGCTAAAATGATCGACCACTACACGTTTGTAGAATGACTGAGTATCTATTGTATTTGATCGAAGGAAAGGACATAGAGAGTGTGTATGTGAATAGAGGAAGAAGACAGAAATATCGAGTGCTAGTAAGAGAGGAACAGGATATTACAGAAGCGATTTAGATTAGGGGGGAAAAATTGTTTAATGGAAAATGTATTGTATAGGAGGAGGATTCGTCCTGAACAAATTGCAGATAAAAATGAGAAAGATCAAGACAAGTTTCCCCAAAATAGCAGTACAAAACATTAAGGCTATTCACATGTTCTCATTTTCTTACCATTATTGTTTTATTTGCAACTGGAGGAGAAAGGGAAAGAAATTGTTTCTGTATGTATGGTGTGGATAAGAAAAAATGACATTAGAATAATGGCAACTTGATAGTCTGCATAAGTTTCTCATTTTCCTTTTCCTTCCTTTTTCACCTGCCAGCTAAAATGAGTTCTGGTCCAGTTGCCACTGCTAGCCAATTTACAATTTAATTTTTATTATTTCATCTAAACTATTATTATTAAGTTATTTAAAAAAAAACTTTGAGCATTGCAAGAACACCAGATTCTCAGTACCAGAAAGAACTCATGTGGCACCAAAAACATGACCAGTTTCCATGGTGAAGGTCCCTCCCTTTTTATGTATGACATCTTTTACAATGAAATTCAAAATATAAACAAGCAAGCATTCCCTCTCACTAACGCCTTAGTCATAATTAAGAAATTGAAGATTCTAGAGCCAAGAAACAGGCGATACTAATGAGCTTAAATTTGCAGCCTGGGAGGTGACGTTACGACTGATGGAGGAGGACCCCAAGAACATCCAGTACTGGAGAGCGGCCAGCGCGGAGGAATCCTAATCGCCAGTCGGCAGGAGACGTGTGCCTTGGAGAGGGAAAACTGCCAGGGCCTGGAGAGGTCCTTCTGCAACGGGAAGAGGCCTTTTCAGTCAGGACAATGGTCTGATGCCTTCAACATGACCTTTGTTGCCTATGCTATAGCCCCAAGCGAACTCTGCAGACCGGACCAGTGGAAGGGCGTTGCCAGTGCGCACGTGTTCCAGTCATGAATCTTGGAAGGCGCTTGGGGGAAGGACAGTGGGTTCCCCTGGCTTGTTGTTTGTGGCATTGGTTATGTACATGCATATGTAGGTGTATGTGTACATATATATACACACACACACACACACACACACACACACACACACACACACACACACACACACACACACACACACACATACACACACACACACACACACACACACATACACACATACACACACACATACACACACATACACATACATACATATATATAAATGTGTGTGTGTGTGTGTATACATACATACATACATACATATGAGTATATATATATATATGTATATTTATGTATATATATATTTATATATTTATATATGTATATATGTATATATGTATATATATACATATGTATATATGTATATATATACATATGTATATATGTATATATATACATATGTATATATGTATATATATACATATGTATATATGTATATATGTATATATATACATATGTATATATATACATATGTATATATGTATATATATACATATGTATATATGTATATATATGTATATATGTATATATATATATATATATATATATATATATATATATATATATATATATATAATATATTATATGTATATGTACATATATAATGTATGTATATGTATATAGGTATGCATATGTATGTGTGTATATATGCATGTATATGTATATATATGCATGTATATGTATATATATATATATATATATATATATATATATATATATATATATATATATATATATAATATATTATATGTATATGTACATATATAATGTATTATATATATATATATGATATATATATATATGTATATATATGCATGTATATGTATATATATGCATGTATATGTATATATATATATATATATATATATATATATATATATATATATATATATATATATATATATATATATATATATATATATATATAATCACACATACACATACATACACACATATATATATACATGTAAAACATATGTATGTATTTATATGATATGCAGTGGTTGACTATAGTGATGGAAAATATGGTTCCCTGGAGAAACTTGTGATATGCAACCACCAAGTCGAAGTACCTCAGGCCACTTTGAACTTCGGGAACCTGTGTGTTTAGCGTCGCACTCAAAGAGAAGTCGTTGGGGACTATTGTGATCTCTGCCCAACAGAAGTTGTTGTCTCTGATAAGGGCTAATTGACCATAGTGAATTGTTTAATACAGGAGACTTTCAAAGCATTTTACCACCTCAGGTGATTATATATATGTAAAAAAAAAAAAAGGAAAAAAAAGTTGTGTGAAAAATATGCACTTGAAGTGGTTTATCACTATTTATAAATATAAATCTGTTGATAATATGCAGTAAATATTAAATGCTTTCCAGAGTATATGCGAGACTTGAATGACTTTTGCAAGATATTACCTTAAAAGTGATTCGTGTTGTGATCTTACTCCTCCTGGGGCTTTGTTTTGTCGGGAGTGTATCCGGGGAATTCAATGTCCAGCGAGAAACACTGCAATTTGGATGTGATTGAGGGGGGGAAAGACTATATATGGTTTTTTGTTTTTTCCTTTCATTCTTTTTCACTTTTTCTTTTCTTTTCTTATTTTTTTCTTTTCTTTTTCTTTTTTTTCTGTTTTTCTTTCGTTTCCTCGTTTATTTTCTTTTGGCTTCTGCTGCTCATTACAAATGATTCTAAAGATGCAAACGCACCGTGTTCCACGTTATATTGTGATAATAAACACGCCGTGCTCGAGGTCACTTACCTCTAGAAAGTGTCTTTTAAATCTTCTAGTCTCAAGAACTAACGTAGTGAAGTCCCGTCTTGAAGATGCAGCTTCCTATTGGTCCGTGTTAGGGTGAGAGGACCAGCGTTTCCAAGGGGGAGGGGGGGACCCTGTGGCGCCCCATCCCAGCTGCCTTAGAGATTATATAAACGTGCGCCCTTCGGAAACTGGGCCTCCGGGTGGCGAAGCAGGCCATTCGTGTGGGGGATTCTTGCAAAGACTGTGCAGCAGTGGTGCCAAAGTGTACAAAAAAAAAAAAAGTCATTAAAAGAAACGAGAAAATTAAATAAAAAAAATATATATATATATATGATGTGTGTTGTTGGATGCAAAAGGAAAAGAGTGTGTTGGTTTGTCTGATGTTGATGTAATACAGTTTAAACAGCTTTCCACCGAATTTTTCCCCCCCTTTCTCTTCTTCTCTGTTGTAAAATCTTGTTGGTCTGATCTGTAGGATTATTATGAAAGTCAATTCTTATCAGGTACCATCCCTTGAAGGTAATGAACAGAACATCAGTTATTCTTCTCTTTGTATTGTTATCATTTCACTCTCCTGTATTTGCAACATTGGTACAAGAGCTATTCCAGGGCTGTTACGATAAACAGAAGTGTAGTGAGGCTTTGAACAGGGTTTGGTAGCAGCACTAGTGTGTTTGTTTGTGCGTAAATGTGCCAGGATCACAAGGTTTTGTGTGCATCATGTTACATACAACTCCCAGTTACCATTACACAAGATTATAAACACTTTAAACTTCTAGCATGGAGTAGGCTATTTAAAGATAACTCTGGTTCTATCTACACGAAGAGTGTCAACTTAACTAATACTTCCCTGTTCCAAGGTTTTTAAAAATGAATAACCATGTCACATTGTTTGCTGCCAGACTTATCAGCTAGCTTCTCTACTGCCTGCATTTGCTGTGTGCACTTTATCCCAGACAGGTATTAACTGGGCCCACTGTTGACATGTTACTTAGGCTGTGTTATTATGTTGTGCAGAATTGATGAATTCTGCAGTTCTAGGCTCGACTGTATGCTCCTATAGAGCCATTGTAGTTTTGTGTACCAGTGAGTAAGTACCTAGAATATTTGTAACTGTTGAGAATCAAAAAATATATATAACATAAAAATATGGTATTGACATAGATATAAAAAAAAACAAAATAAGATTGAGAAAATACAGTGAATAGATATTTGTGCGTTTGTATGTGCGTGCATGTTCACAACTATGTGCTCAGTGCTCCAGATTATTTATGTTGAAAGGATGGGAGAATTCCAGATGTCAGTGCTTACAATGAACTAGATTACAAAATGCAGATGAACTATATTGGGAGTCCATCCCAGCATCCACACATTATGAGAGACTATACTAATGAAAAGTTTTCATCAGATCTCCTCTTTCTTAATGTGCATAAACCAAAGATAAACTAAGCTGTCCACTGATTGGTAGCTCTCCCTGGTGACTGTGCTTTCCGTGACCTAGAACACTTCACAGACAATCTCTGCAAGATTTCCAGAAGCAAGAAATAAGTGTATTTATAAATGCATAAATGTATATGCATAAGTGCTTCACACCAGATGACAGCTAATAGAAGCGTACGTGCCCATTGGACTACGAGTGCGAATGTGGTGTCACGTGACACATTGCCATGAATTTGCCTGCGATCCATTTATGTCTTGATGTCTTTCGGGGAATATTGGACAGAGGCTTCTTTGTGGGCCTTATTGGACTGTGTTGTAGATCCCACCCCTTTTTGATTTTTCTTTTATATGTTAATTGGTTGGTGACTTGGTGAAGCACCATTTTAGTGCTTTTGGACTGTATCATGTTTCTTTAATGGGGGCTCCTGCTTTTACTGCCTCCTGTGTTAGCTGTCCAGCTGAGCCTGTGCATTTCTCGAGATCTGTTATTTTTCCTGCTGTATTTGCTCACTTTCAACCATGATTTTCCTTTTTGTTAATGGGATATTACGAGAGTTTTGCTTAGGCTTTAGAGAATGTCCTAGTTGCCCACGGTCATTGTGGCATAATCCTAATTTATGACTAAACTGCTTAGTATTACTTTTCTGTAATTATTTCCATATAACAGGTTTCAGATTTATTTTACTTAAGGCGCAACAATCGAGAGTTGTGCAGGCTCATCACAGCAGCTCTGAGCTGCCTTCTGTTGTTCTGATCAACGTACAAAGGCCTTGTTTTTCCTTAATTTCAATGCTAGTTGGAGGAACGTCCGCTTCACCTACCAGAAAACAATCACCCTTAACTGTTAACAGCTTTTTATCAACTGTAAACAGTACTGTCTCACCCTTGCTGTTAACTTAACTAGTCTGGTAGCATCTTTCAGTCTGTTACCAGGTGATTGTATCGAGTTACAATAAAGCTAACAGCTGCCAATAACTGGCTGTTGTAGCAAGTATCACTAGACCTCACACACGCTGTTAGCAGTAACCTCAGAAACTATCCAAAAAGTAAAAAAAAATGAGAAAAAATATACAAAAAAAAAATATTTGCTCCTTTGTTAGCATGTCAAGAGATTGCCTCAGAATACAGTGCAGTTGACAGCTAGAAGGAGGTGGCACGTGGCACGCAGTTCACCCCGTTGCTTGTTCAGCCTTCCTGAGTTACCACCACACCAGCAACGCCATGGGTATATGGGACAGTACAGAAGTCGTCTTCCATCAAGGTCTATATATTATATGTGATAAGAATTTGATTATCGTGGAACTTGTTGCTCCAAATATATTATTCAGTATCTTATACTCTCGAGAGATTTGGATAGATAGGGAAAATCCAGGTGACTAACACTCATGCTCTGGTATATATTTTCTTAGCTTTATCTGTTTTACTCTTCCAGTGTGAGGAAATGATAATTTATTTTGATAGTCGAAAATAAAAACAGAGGATGTGGTGCACTGTATTCTGGAGGCAGTAGTCTTGGTGTTTAATTGCTGAACTGAAGTAAATTTCCAAACTTGCATTGTGTGCAATGTTTCAAGGCAGTTGAAAAGACCAATGTAATCTGCAATAAAGTTTCACTGCAAACACTCGCAGACTGTAATGACAACAACTATTTTCATTTTATTATACCTGTTTTGTGTTGGTAAGTAACTGACGAAGTGAAAAACGAGATGCATTTTGAAATCCGTTTCGTACTCGCTTCTCTGTATTACAAAGAAGTGTGCTTTTAAACATTACTCATAAATCGAAAAGATGTGTTTTGAAAAGTTATCAGATATTCCAGTTCTAATTAATATCATCCTTATACAAATACCGATTATTCATTATTTAATACAAGATGTAATAATTGTTAAGCAGTTTCAGTCAGTAAGACTGATGGAAAATAAAATTTAAAGGCCAATCCACACGGGCGGCC